GCCTGTAATCCCAGCTACTCAGGAGGCTGAGGCAGGAGAATTGCTTGAACCTGGGAGGTGGAGGTTGCGGTGAGCTGAGATCACGCCACTGCACTCCAGCCTGAGAGACAGAGCAAGACTCCGTCTCAAGAAAAAAAAAAAAGGGAAGAAAGAAAGTTAAATAGCTTTGTTGCTGATAGCAAGTTTGAGTGGTATGGATAGAAGATCAAACCAGCCGCAAGATTCCCTTAAGCCAAAAGCCTAATTCAGACTAAGACCTTAACTCTCTTCAATTCCATGAAGGCCGAGAGAGGTAAGGAAGCTTCAGAAGAAGAGTTAGAAGTTAGCAGAGGTTGGTTCATGAGGTTTAAGGAAAGAAGCCTATCTTCATAACATAAAAGTTTGACATGAAGTAGCAAGTCCTAATGGAGAAGCTGTAGCAAGTTATCTGGAAGAGCTAGTTAAGATCATTGGTGAAGGTGACCACATTAAACAACACATTTTCAGTGTAGACTAAACAACCTTATATTGGAAGAAAGTGCCATCTAGGACTTTGGTAGCTGGAGAGGAGAAGTCAGTCCCTGGCTTCAAAGAATAGGCTGACTCTTGGTAAGGGCTAATACAACCAGTGAGCAAGTTGAAGTCATTGCTCATTTCCCATTTTGAAAATCCTAGGGCTCTTAAGAATTATGCTTAATCAATTAGCTGGCCGTAGTAGCAGGCACCTGTAGTCCCAGCTACAGGGGAGGCTGAGGCAGGAAAATCGCTTGAACCCAGGAGGCAGAGGTTGCAGTGAGCTGAGATCGCGCCACTGCACTCCAGCCTGGGAAACAGGGTGAGACTCTGTCTCAACAACAACAACAACAACAAAAAGAATTATGCTTAATGTACTCTGTCTGTGCTCTGTCAGTGGAACAACAAAGCCTGGATGTCAGCACATCCTCTTTACAGGATGGTTTACTAAGTATTTTAAGCTCACCATTGAGACCTACTGCTCAGAAATAAAAGACTCCTTTTTAAAATATTACTGTTCATTGACAGTTTTGCTGGTCACCCAAGGGCTTTGATGGAGATGTAGAAAGAAATTAATGTTTTCATGCCTGCTAACACAACATCCATTCTGCAGCCACAGATCAAGTTGTTTCAACTCTTATTATTTAAGAAACAGAATCCATAGACCATTTGTGGTAGTAGGGCAAAGTTGGTTACAATGTCCTACCACAGCAATTTCTGACATTCAAATTGGGCCTGTATAAATGGGACTCCTTTTGATTCCTTCAGCTTTGTATTATGTTGGTTATCTAAACAGCAGGTTTGTAAATTGAAACAGTTTCACTCACATCACTCGTATTTCCTTGGTTTTTGGAGACTTAACAGCTTGGTCTAAAAAAAATTTTTTTTTTAGATGGAGTCTCACTCTTGTTGCCCAGACTAGAGTGCAGTGGCATGATCTCAGCTCACTACAACCTCTGCCTCCCGGGTTCAAGCGATTCTCCTGGCTCAGCCTCTTGAGTAGCTGGGATTACAGGCACCTGCCATCACGGCCATCTAATTTTTTTTGTATTTTTAGTAGAGACTGGGGTTTCACCATGTTGACCAGGCTGGTCTCGAACTCCTGACTTCAGGTGATCCGCCCACCTTGGCCTCCCAAAGTGCTGGGATTACATACAGGCGTGAGCCACTGTGCCTGGCCAGGTTTTTTTATGTTTTTGTTTTAATTCCATTATAAGAAAAGCCGTAAATGAGAGCCAGGTAATTTACAAGATATATTATCCCTTGTCAATTGATTTGATTTATGAGCAGTAATTTATTTTGTAACTCTCTTGTGGGCATTTATTCAGGTCTGGTCAGTGTAATCTTTAAAGTATGTTTTTTAAAAACCTCCAATATTTTTTTATCGCAGAGTTGAATTTGCTTTCCTCTCCTGGTTGTGTCACTTCTGGAAGTTGAGAATGTTTACGGGTATCTGCTTAGAAGAACCAGTTTCTTGTAACATACCAAGTTAATAATGTTTGCACTGTTTGGTACAAGAAGTTTGGTTGCTTATGATTTCACTGGCACTCCTTCATTTATGCCATTTCCAGCATTCTTTATTTCTTTGTGTAGGACTGAGTTTCTGGTATCATATATCTTTTGCCTAAAGAATTTGCTTTAACTTTTCTTACAGTGCAGATTTGTTGGCAACAGATTCTAGTTTTTGTCTGGAAAAAGTCTATTTTTTGTACACTTTTGAAAGTTACCTTTGTGGGTATAGGATTCTAAGTTTTCTGGGTTTTTTCCAGTAGTGTAAAGATAAAGCTCCCTTGTCTTCTGGCTTTTTGGTGAGAAGTCTGCTGTCGTTCTTATCTCCCTGGGTGGAGTGTGTGTGTGTGTGTGTGTGTGTGTGTGTGTGTATGTGTGTGTGTGTTTCTTCCACTGGTTTTAAATTTTCTCCTTTTCACTGGGTTTCAGTAGTTTGATTAGGATGTGCCTTAGTGTGGTTTTCTTCATGTTTGCTGTACTTGTTCACTGAGCTTGTTGGGTTTGCAGGTTTATATCTCCATTGGGAAATTTTCAGTCATTTCCTCAGATTTATTTTCTGTCCCCTCCTCTCTTTCCTCTCCTTTTGGAGACAGTATCCAAGCCTGGAGGATATATACTTACTCTTCTGCTGGTTTTTCCCCAGGCCTCCAGTAGTTTTTCATGCATGTGTGCAGATCAATACTCAGTCAAAGGCAGTTTGGCAAGGGCATAGAGCATATGTGTCAGGATAATGCTACATGAGACTAAAAAATTAAATTGCAATCACTTGTGGAAGACTTTGAATAGCAGGCCAAGTAATACGAACTTCGGTGTGAAGGCTGACATTCATTAAAGGTATTTACATGGGGAGTGAAATGATTGGTACAGTATAAAAATTAAGATAGCAGCATCAGGTGATCACGCTTAGCAGCACCAATAATTGAACAGCCTAACTTTAGGTACCTTGTGATGCAATACAGTGTGAAATATAAAACATCACCTATCTGGTATTCTAACCAAAAGTGTGGGATATTCTATAAAACAACAGGCCTCAGTTCTTTAAAAAAGTTACTGTGATTAAAAACAAAAAGGCAGAGAACTGGTCTAGATTAAGAGGGATGAAAGAGAACAATCAAATAAAATGCATGAAGCTGATCCTGAATTTAAAAAATAAAAACATTTTTAAGACAATTTAGGGAGATTTATTTGAATTCAGAGTATAGAAGCTGTATTTTGGGATTGTTGAATTTTTCAGGTGAGAAAATGAAATTGTGGTTTGTAGGAAACTGTTCTGACTCTTAGGAGATGAATGCTGAAGTATTTTTGAGGTGAAGACTTTTTCACATGTCAGCCCAAAAAAGTAAGTGTACATATATAGAATAGGTAAGCAGATGTGGCAAAATGTTAACAGATGGTAAAGTATATCATTCTTTTAACTTTTCTGTAGTTGGGATTAAAAAGGACAGCATCAGCATGTGAAGTGGTTACAGAGAAGGACTGGAGCAAAGGAAAACAGTTAAAAAGCCGCTGCTGTCTCTAATTGAGGATTAATGCAGGTCTTAGAGAGTGGCAGTTAAGAGTAGAAAGGAAGGAGAAGAATGCAAAAACAGATATGGACATAAAATCCAAAGAATTTGAAGTCCTATTCAGGTGAAGTGAAAATTTAGATTTTGAGTTATAATGAAGTGACATGATTGCAATCTGAGAATCACGACAGTATCAGTAACCCATTTCTCTACTTTTTTAGTCTTTTGTTGCTGAGGCTATGTTGCTCATGGCTACTATCCTGCATTTGGGAAAATCCTCTCTTCCTAAGAAGCCAATTACTGATGATGATGTGGATCGAATTTCCCTGTGCCTGAAGGTCTTGTCTGAGTGTTCACCTTTAATGAATGACATTTTCAATAAGGAATGCCGACAGTCCCTTTCTCACATGTTATCTGCTAAACTAGAAGAAGAGAAATTATCCCAAAAGGTAAGGTATATATGATGAGGCAACAAAAGCGCTTTGTGTCTCTGGGTGCAGTGGCTCACGCGTGTAATCCCAGCACTTTGGGAGGCTGAGGCGGGAGGACTCCTTGGGGCCAGGTGTTCGAGACCAGTGTGGGCAACATAGCAAGCCCCTGTCTCAACAAAAAATGAGAGAATTAGCCAGGCATGGTGATATGTGCCTTCATCCCAGCTACTTGGGAGACTGAGGAGGAAGTATTGCTTGAATGTAAGAGTTCGAGGCTGCAGTGAGCTGTGATCACACCACTGCACTCCAGCCTGGGCAAGAGAGTAAGACCCTGTCTCAGGAAAAAAAAAAAAAAAAGAAAAAGAAAAGTGCTTTGTGGGTTTTCTTGTTGTTTTGTTGATTTTTCAGTCTTTATATGTGAGGGCTGTCTCTGTTAAAGTCCTCTAAAAACTATCTTTTCATATTAAAGAGAAACTTTGTTATATTCTCAACACAGAAAGAATCTGAAAAGAGGAATGTGACAGTACAGCCTGATGACCCCATTTCCTTCATGCAACTAACTGCTAAGAATGAAATGAACTGCAAGGAAGATCAGTTTCAGCTGAGTTTGCTGGCAGCAATGGGTAACACACAGAGGAAAGAGGCAGCAGATCCCCTAGCATCTAAACTTAACAAGGTAACAAAATGTCTGATAGACTCTAAATTACTTAAATTGGCTCCTTAAGGAAGTTGTTAGTCCTGCTATTTTTAAAAGAAAGATAACTATTTTGTCAAGTCACTGTGATAGGTCCATTAAACCTCAGTTAAAACTCAAAAGCTGATGAAGTACCTTACTACTATATGTGATAGTACTGTAAGTCCATCAGATGGTTTAACTCGATCCAGTTGTGTGTGGAATCATAGACCAATAAGTAGAAGTTGAGGGAAGGAGATCCTTAAAGGTTAACTGAGGTTTTTAAAGGGAAGCTGAACAGGCAACAGCCCTGGTCTCTTTCCACACCTTGATCTCACCTTCTCTTATTCTCTGCTACTTTAAACAGAGCAATTCTACTATTATATTCTTAATGTTTTGAGTTCCATATAGAATTTTATTAGGAAAATGATTCTTCTCCCTTAAATACATAAATTGAAGAATCAGTGATCTCGTTTAATCCCTCATCTATTAGACTGAACAGTCTTACATTGCTTTTGTTTAAGATAAGGTCAGTAGCAGAATTGGAACTACTAAAACAATTTCCCTTAAAATTGGGAATCGATATCAATAATACTACATTTATAAAATTTTTTTAGTTTTTTTGAATTGTAGTTAAAGTTGCAAAAGATTTGCCATTTTAACCCATTTGTAAGTGTACAGTTCTGTGGCATTAATTAAATTCACATTGTTATGCAGCTATCTCCAGAACTGTTTTCATGTTGCAAAGCTGGAACTATGTCCATTAAATGATAACTCCTCATTCCTATTTCCCCTCAACCCCTACTTACCCCCAGTCACCATTCTACTTTCTGTCTCTGTGATCTTGACAATTTTAAGTACCTCATAGAAGTGGAACAATACAGTATTTTTCCTTTTGTGGCTGGCTTATTTCACTCAGTATAATATCTTCAAGATTCATTCATTTTATAGCATGTATCAGAAATGCCTTCCTTATTAAGGCTGAATAATATTACCTTGTAAGTATATGCCACATTTTGTTTATCCATATATCCATCCCTGGATACGTGGATTGCCTTTTGGTTACTGTGAAGTATGCCGCTGTTAACACAGATGTACAAATATCTGTTCAAGTCCCTGCTTTTAGTTCTTTTGGGTATACATCTAGAAGCAGAATTGCTGGATCATATGGTAATTGTACTTTTAATTTTTTGAGGAACCTCCATGATGTTTTTCATGGTAGTTACACTATTTTACATTCTTTTTTTCTTTTTTTAATTATTTAAAAAAATTTTTTTTTTAATACTTTAAGTTCTAGGGTACATGTGCACAACGTGCAGGTTTGTTACATATGTATACCTGTGCCATGTTGGTGTGCTGCACCCAGTAACTCGTCATTTACGTTAGGTATATCTCCTAATGCTATCCCTCCCCTCTCCCGCCTCCCCACAATAGACCCCGGTGTGTGATGTTCCCCTTCCTGTGTCCAAGTGATCTCATTGTTCAGTTCCCACCTATGAGTGACAACATGCGATGTTTGGTTTTCTGTTCTTGCAATAGTTTGCTGAGAATGATGGTTTCCTGCTGCATCCATGTCCCTGCAAAGGACACGAATTTTATGGCCACATAGTATTCCATGGTGTATATGTGCCACATTTTCTTAATCCAGTCTGTCACTGATGGACATTTGGGTTGATTCCAAGTCTTTG